AGTAAATAGTAAATATCCACACAATCTGGACCCAGCCCGGGCTCAATCTGGTCTGGGTAATTTATCGTTATCGTTATCATTATGGCGGCGTTTAAACATGCGTTACATATGTGCTTAAGTACATGCGAAAAATTTTTGACGTACGTACGTAATAACAATGAAGTAGCAACTTGTTAAATGTAACACCACGCCTTTAAATTTTTTGATTGTTAAGTACCAATAAATTTAAAGCTCGAACCAAGTTACGCATATACATATATATATCGATTTCAGGTGAATTTGTTGAGCTTGATTCAATAGGTAATAATTAATGATTTATGGATCCAAAAAGATTCCTTTGTTTGTGACCAAGTTGTCAAACATAACCCTTTTTTTTTCAATATTCTCACTTAAATTTTTTTAAGATTTTCAATATTCTGAATTTTTTTTTTTTAGGATTTTCATCATTATGGCCTGATTCCTGATTTTCATTATTCTGGTTGACTGCTCATTAGATTAGTCAAATACGTTATCTTTTATACATTAAGTTGCTAAAAATAACTAATCATTTAATTACTAAGTAATATTTACGTATATAGTACAGTATATAAATCTAATTTTTCACATGTTGAAACTGAGTTTAATCGGTTTTAACTACGGTTAGAAATTTTTGCGCGGCGATTGAATATATATACTGTCAGATTATATATTTATATTATCTGTTATATAATAGCCAATGATATTTTAACATGTGAAAAATGAAAAAAAAACTTTAATAATAACCGTACTTAATCTCGTACTTATACGCGTAATAAATCATTCATAATTTTGCGTCAAGATATTTATTCATATAAACTTAAGAAGGATTATTTTTGTTGATAAATCCACTATAAGGTGTTTTTGTTATAAAAAATAATAATTTTTTCAAACTAAAGATACATATATACGTAATATTAATATACCGTAATATTAATATACTATTATCTACGAATAAATGTTTTAAATCTAATGATTACTATGAATAATGATACGAAAAAAAAATCAGGTTTTCTAAGTTATGCATTATATAAATATTATATAAATGCAAACCTGAAAAAAAAAAGATGATGTGTAAATATACAAAACTAATTTTCTTTGAATTTTTTTGAATGTGTTAAAATCTAATTGTTAAAAGTGTTAAAGTTTGAAATGTGTATAAATGTAATGCATGTGTTTGTGTTACAAGATGTGATGTGTATAAAAAAACCGATATGTCCAATTAATATGCATTGACCTCTGCTGCCATAACGATAATGGCCTGAATTATATAATTCTTTGCAAAGATCCCATACTGTATATTGACGACTCGTGTTTTGTTTTAATATATATATATATTTTTTTTTGTTTGTGTTTGTATTTCTTCTAAAGTTTTCTCTAAATTTTCCTCTAAATAAATTCACTGCTAAATTAACAAATAATTGTGTTTTCAAATTCAAATTCATCCACTACAGTACAAATGTTAGAATTACTAGTGCTACTAATTCCATTAATATTATTCGCCCAATAATTAAATTCTTCACATCCAATTCCATATTGTAATAATTTAACTTCTTCCAATTCCGAAAATATTTTTCCTAAAAGGGGCTTGATCATTTTATGTGTGATTCCTTTACAAAACCAAAACTCCAAATTTTTTAATTTCATGCATGATGCTAAACCTTCCCATGGACCACAATCTTTAAAATCCACTAATCGAAATTTCATTGATCTTAATGAAATTGATTGAGTATCTAATGCTGATATCATGTAACCAAGGTAGGCTCTACAATTTATCATGTCAAAGGTTTTTAAATTTTTTTGTGCTTTGATTAATCTTCGTAATGAGACTGCAGCAGAGTCATTCGTTTGTGATATATCATCTACTTTATATTGTTGATGTCCATACCAACCACGAAGATATAAATGTTCCTATATATATATTAAAAAAAATAAAAAAAGTATTTTTTTAAAAAAAAAAAATTTTTTTCATTAAAAGTGTGTAATTAAAATTATATGGACGCTTACCACATTCTGACATAAATCTGGAAGTCTAGTTAATAAACCTTGTTGATTATAGTCAAAACCGTCTAGAGAAAGAGTTCGCACAGAGGTAATCAAATTTTTAATCTCAGGTTCGGTCAATATCATACATTTTTCATCGTTATAATTTTCACCAAGAGTAGCAAGCTTTAATGAAGAAAGAGGACCAGCATTATTTAAAAAAAGTCTCAACAAAACTCTCATTATAGATACAACAGAATCAGGTCTTTTTTTAGGTAAATTGCTGCACCAAACTTCGACAGCATATAACATTTCTCCGTAATCAAGATGTCGAATTAACGAAGAATAGTTAAATAATGGAGCCTGTGAAACAGGAGGTAATTTTATACCTTTTAGTTTCAAGTCTCTTCGTTCTTCAACATCTAAACTTTTCAAATATGTGGATATCACTTTATGACCACCGTTATGATATGGACTGAATGGTCGACGCCATAAAATACGTACAGCGCTTTCACACCATTGCCGATTTACCAAAAGGCAAGAATGTAAGTCTTTCAAAGCAGCATAATTATAATAGGAAATAGATGAATCTGTTTCCGTTACAAACATGAAAATCTCTTCGAGAACAACTGATTCTAATAATGGTTTAGAATCTAGTTCTACCCTATAAAAAAAAAAAAAAAAAAAGTTATTCGATAAGTTATTCGATGAATGATAAAATTTGATAAAATTTTAGTGATATAACTAAAAGATATAACTAAAAGATAATAATAATAAAATTTACTCACTCAGGGAGTAACTGTTGAGAAAACTCCTTAATTCTCTTTTTCCTGAGCATGTTTTACCCGCATTAAGAATCTTTCTATATATAGTAAAGAGAAACCTAAAAATGTTAAAATAAAAGTGAATAAGAAAAAAATATCATCTAAACGAATTTCTTTTAGAAGAGATAGATTTATTCGAACCTTAAATAATAGAAAAAACAAATATCATTATAAAAACAAAAAAAAACAAGAATTATATGAAGAGAAAAAAAATGTGTTTAAAGGACGAAGCAAAATAGCTTAAGAGATGACAACAAATGTTTGTCTAATTTAAATCATTGTACTCTGGACCCTCTATATATTTATTATAAATCCTATTAACCATTTGAGGCCAATTCTGCCGCAGTAATTGAAAAAATGCAAAAGTTGTGAATCATGTTCACGACAGAAAGACGATGCTATGTTGGTTTAATAAGGGGTTAAATGAACTCCATTACGAGTTTGAGGCGTTAATCTGTTTTGGTTGTATTTCTCTCATCGTCCCGGACGGTGAGTCACCGTCTTAGGAATGAATTTTAATTCTGGTAAGACAGAGCAACACAGATGTGATTAACTCAAACAGATAATACAGATAATACAGATAATTACGTGACCGATTTGATAAAGACCGCCACAAACTCTGTCACTGAACTTGATTCCAAAGGGTGCTAACTTTCGGTCGGAGAAGAAACTTGTCCTGGGTCACCATGTGCGTCTCAAGTTAGAAACATATATATATGTACATGTATATATATATATTTTTAATACATTGTGACGCAGACAGTGATATTTTCGAGAATTCGGTGCTCGGACGAACACCTTTGTTTGTTTTGATACCGATAAGAGAAAAGTAAGTTACAATCAACGAAAATGACATCGAAATATTAGCCTAAAATAATAAAAACATAATGGCAACAACAATAATAATAATGGTACAAAAAAAAGAACTGATCGAAAATTCCCGGAAGAATGAGTTCCAAATAACGTGTTTTTATAATAACGTGTTTTTATTGGTGTTTTATTGATAACTGTTCCATGTTATTCTTGTTATTCTTTGTTATTCTTTTTTTAATTCTTTTTTTATTCTTGTTATTCTATGTTAACTTCAAACTTATTATTATTATTAATTATTACGTCAGTTTTGATCATCAGTATTCGGCAACTACCGTAAGCTTGTAAGCTTGTGTAAGGGAATATTAAGAAATTTTCATTCGCGCATCGACAAAGGATCAATTCCTTTTTATGTATATACTTAGTCTAGTAAAACAAGAGTTCATATCCAAAGAATTCTTACAACATTTTACAACACCATGAACAATGTCAAACTAATATAGCAAAATGTCTGATCACGCGACATTGTTTACCTTTAATCTACTTATTAACTTGTCAACGCGCCTTTTTATTTGAAATACCAATAATAGAGAATCTTGTATAAAATTACTTATTCATAATATTATTCATAATAAAATTACACTTATTCATAATTAATTATCCTTTAAAGAAAAAGAATAGTCCGCCATACAATACTTATTCTATTTATAGATCAGATGATCCAAGGAACACAAATCACATCCTCGTGTCATGAAAACTAATCACAGTTCATACATTGAAAACAAATAAATGTAACGTTTTGCGCTTTGTTACGTTTTATGCCATCATATAAATACATAATCACGGCAAGGGAGGAATAACCAAAGTGTCACATGCCTATCCTTAATACTGTGTTAAATTGCATAAATTATTAATGGACCAATGAAATATACTTTTATTAGTTAAATTTATTATCCTTAATACAGGTAAAGGAGTAATCGGGTATTTATTTCTTTTTTTGCTTTTTACGTCAATTTATAGCTATTTTTCATTTAGCTTGACTCCGTTTGGTGTTTGAGATCTTGAGGTTTAGGATACCAAGAGAATGGATATAATCTCCGAGTAGATGGTTATAACGTATAGTAAATTTGGTTAGACTATGTTACACTTTTACAAAAGACAACTTAAGTATAGAAATCCATGGTTTTTTTTGGAGTCACGTTTGTATAACTTGTATAACCTGTATAACAACGAAAAACCTCGGTCATATACTTTATGTCGGCGCTTTTTATGATCGACTCATAGTCAGCAGATAGTCAATGCAGGAAGTCATCCCTTGTTTCATTTATTGGAGATTCGGTTATATTGTAAATCGTCCCTTGCCGCCAGTCGGTATCCCTGTGAACGGTTCGTTATCCGTCACCTTTTCACACAATGGTTTATTTTGATATATAAACTTTAATTACTGATTCACTTATAGATACTTAAATCAGGATTAGACCAAATTTATGTAACTTTTTGTCTTACATCATTATTAAACTAGATAAGTTAGATTCAACTTTGTTCTCCGAAGATTTTAACTCGTACATAAATGCAAAAAAAAAAAAAAAAGAAAAAGAATATATACATATATATAATCCTTCATTATCTCTTCCCAAAGAGAAAGAAGAATAAAGACCGATTTGGAATCAAGTTTCTGGCTAAAAAAAAAAAGAAAAAACAAACACGAAAGGTCTGCGAAAGGTTCGCATCTACCAAGCAGATACGAGAAAGCTAGGTGTGCGAATAGGCAGGGACAGAGGGATACGAGTTCTCGGCGCCGATTCCAATGGCGTGCATAAAAGTTTAAGCTAGTGCATGTATATACTTGTGAATTATGCTTTAAGTTTTTAAGGCTAATGTCATACGAAATTTTTTTAAAGACCATAACTTTAAAATGTATATGTCAGCGATGTAACATATCTCGTACTAAATTTCTTGCATACTTCTATCAGTTTACCCATTATTATTTCTAGAGATAGAAATGACTTTCCATCCAATCATCAACCGTTATTCCTTAAAAATACATCCTAAACTGCACACCATCTTTGTCATTGATTAGAATTTTCACATTGGCAAATAGTAAATAAAAATACAAAGCCACGCTCACTATTTTGGTTATTAAGGTTATATTTATGTCGAACTTGGTATAGCAATATTTATTACTGAATTTTCGTACGTATGGTTATTTTGTCGATAAATTGTCGATAAAATAACATATCGTTTGGTACTAAGTTGGTATTATGTTGGTACGTACTATGTTAGTACTATGTTAGTACTATGTTAGTACTATGTTAGTAGAATGACAAAATTATACGTACGTATCTAGAATTGCACCGTATTTCTTATGTGCATGTAATGAAATTCACTAATATATATTCCATTGATTCTTGATCACAGGATTAGTCGTACAGAATAGTACAATATTAGTCTTTAATAGTCTCCGATTTCTCTCACCTTCAGGAAGGTCGTTCAGTATTCCATTCGTGGATTTTGTTGATTGTTAAGTAGTCATTATTCATATGATTGGTGAAATTTCCTCTTATGATCCAAGATTCCTTGTAAAACCATTATTTAACTAATCGGGACCAACTACCTTATGTTCCGGTTTTCTTTTTATTTTTTCCTATTTCTCTTTTTCCCGTTTCCCCTGCTGAAAAATCTAATAATGTCTTTGGCTGTTTCGCGTGATGCGTTATCTATTCGATATTTATAACTGGATAGTCTAATTCTTCAAGTTTTCTATGCATAATGATTTCATATTACCATTTACAAGATGAGGCGAATTATATAGTTCACTCTCGCTATAAAGAATTATAATGTTAGTATTGTATATAGTTCACTTTCGCTAAAGAGGATTGGTGGGGAAACTCCGCCCGTTATAATGTTATTATTGTAATATTATATCACATTATAATGAAAATTTTTAAATTGTTCTAGAGAATCACTTCGCTAGTAAACTGTATATCTTTTTCTCATTCAGAAAATGGATTTCCTGAAATATATCGAGCAGGAATACGTATTTAAGAAGTCACATAAAAAATGTTGATAGTCAATCACTTTATCCTAGATTATTGTTATTTAGAGCAGATAATATTACCGTTTTCATTAAACAGTTGGATCCGGGATACAATGGCTAAATCTAAAGCATTTTGTATTATTTGTAAATGTGTATAAAACTGTCCTATTTAATTTTTCAGCCCATCCCCTATTTTCCATTTATCAAAGTTTACCGCAAAGATTAAATTATTGCAAATCTAATTTTACTTCAAGTTATTGCATTGTTTTACTGGTTTAATCTCAGAACCTTTTGTCTGGAATTTTATAAATTTATTTTTGATCAATTTTTAAAAGTTTTTTTTTAAAAATAATTATAGAATAGTATTATTTAATTTTATATATAAAAAACTTTATCATTTAAATTATAATATAAATGAATTCATCTCTATAATTGTTTATTAATTTTAATAACTTTTACCAAATCGCACCTATGATGTTTTACATCTATGAATTACAGCGCCCGTCAAAAGTATCCTCACATCTGCAATTTTTATTAGATTTTACTATGGTAAAATTTTAAGGAAAAAATAATAATACAAATATAAAATATTGATAAAAAAATATGATTCGATTTAATTAGGTGGTTGTTGAAAAATGAAAATTTAAAGTTTTAACGTTTTAATTTTTTTTTTAGATATAGCATCAGTATTCTAAAGGCCAGACTTTGAAATTTAATTTTTCAACAACTGTCTTATCAAATTAAGTCAATTTTTTTTTTATTATAATTAGAAAAATACTTGAATTTTAATATACTAATTTAAAATTTTTTTAATTTTAAAAATTATTCGATATATTACTTAAAATTGATTTTTAGATAATTTTTCTATTTTTTAGATAATCGAAATTTAAATCCAGCTTTTATTTAAAGTTTTATATAAAAATTATAAAATTATAAAAATTTTTATAGAATATAGGCTTATTAAATCCTACTTATTTCTAAAATCTTAATACTATAAAGCTTCCTTATATCAAGTTATAAATATAAAAATACTTTTAACAAGCATTAAATTTTAATAATTAAATAATTAATTAGAATGCAAAGTATTTAAAATAAAATAGTCTATATTTCTAAAAACTCTTTTTAAACTTTAATTTTATCTCTATATACTAACTTTAATATAAAAAA